CCACTTGTACCCTTCTCCTCTCCTCTCCTCTCCATCACTCCACTTGTACCCTTCTCCTCTCCTCTCCTCTCCATCACTCCACTTGTACCCTTCTCCTCTCCTCTCCTCTCCATCACTCCACTTGTACCCTTCTCCTCTCCTCTCCTCTCCATCACTCCACTTGTACCCTTCTCCTCTCCTCTCCTCTCCATCACTCCACTTGTACCCTTCTCCTCTCCTCTCCTCTCCATCACTCCACTTGTACCCTTCTCCTCTCCTCTCCTCTCCATCACTCCACTTGTACCCTTCTCCTCTCCTCTCCTCTCCATCACTCCACTTGTACCCTTCTCCTCTCCTCTCCTCTCCATCACTCCACTTGTACCCTTCTCCTCTCCTCTCCTCTCCATCACTCCACTTGTACCCTTCTCCTCTCCTCTCCTCTCCATCACTCCACTTGTACCCTTCTCCTCTCCTCTCCTCTCCATCACTCCACTTGTACCCTTCTCCTCTCCTCTCCTCTCCATCACTCCACTTGTACCCTTCTCCTCTCCTCTCCTCTCCATCACTCCACTTGTACCCTTCTCCTCTCCTCTCCTCTCCATCACTCCACTTGTACCCTTCTCCTCTCCTCTCCTCTCCATCACTCCACTTGTACCCTTCTCCTCTCCTCTCCTCTCCATCACTCCACTTGTACCCTTCTCCTCTCCTCTCCTCTCCATCACTCCACTTGTACCCTTCTCCTCTCCTCTCCTCTCCATCACTCCACTTGTACCCTTCTCCTCTCCTCTCCTCTCCATCACTCCACTTGTACCCTTCTCCTCTCCTCTCCTCTCCATCACTCCACTTGTACCCTTCTCCTCTCCTCTCCTCTCCATCACTCCACTTGTACCCTTCTCCTCTCCTCTCCTCTCCATCACTCCACTTGTACCCTTCTCCTCTCCTCTCCTCTCCATCACTCCACTTGTACCCTTCTCCTCTCCTCTCCTCTCCATCACTCCACTTGTACCCTTCTCCTCTCCTCTCCTCTCCATCACTCCACTTGTACCCTTCTCCTCTCCTCTCCTCTCCATCACTCCACTTGTACCCTTCTCCTCTCCTCTCCTCTCCATCACTCCACTTGTACCCTTCTCCTCTCGTCTCCGTCACTCCACTTCTACCCTTCTCCTCTCCTCTCCACCACTCCACTTCTCCTCTCCATCACTCCACTTCTATCCTTCTCCTCTCCATCACTCCACTTCTATCCTTCTCCTCTCCATCACTCCACTTGTACCCTTCTCCTCTCCTCTCCATCACTCCACTTCTACTCTTTTCTCCTCTCCATCACTCCACTTCTACCCTTTTCTCCTCTCCTTTCCATCACTCCACTTTTCTATCTTGCTTTTTCCTCCTTTCATCCCTCCACCTGTTTGTAGTTTTCTTTCTCCTTTTCTCATTCCATCTGTCTTCCTTTCTTTAGCACACGCCTTTTCCTTTCCTTTTTATCCCTCCATCTTCCTTCCCATCTTCTAGCACACCTCTGCCTCTCTCTCTCTCTCTCTCTGTCTCTCTCTTGTCCAGGTGTCCACACAGAAGGAGCACAACATGCTAGAAGCACAAGGATGGCTCTCCCCAGCCCTGCCATTGGCTTCGATTCCTCCCTGTATTGGGGGACTACACCCTCTCTAGGAACCCTTGCTCCCCATGTTAGCCTCCAGCCCCAGGAGAGCCCGGCTCAGCATCTGCCTTCAATGAGATCTAGTGGATGGGGGAGTCCCACATGCTCAGGGAGGAGGAATAATAATTATCCTGTGGCAAGGAGTTCCACAGAGTAGCTACATCAAGATAACCATCCATTCACCTCCACTCATGTCTCTCCACTTATTCCCACATTCCCTCCCTCCATTCCCAGACCCCCCCATCAATCCATGCATCCTTCCCTGCTTAGTACCCCCCTCTCCGCCCTTCTCACTTCCTCCACACCTCTCTCTGGGGGACAGCATCTGAACCCATCCACCCCCTCCCCAGGCCACCATTCACCCCTCCCCAGCAAACCACCCATCTCCTTCACTCCAGGACTGGAAGAAGCACTTCCCACATGCCCATCCCCCACCGTTACTCCTTCCCTCCCAACCTTTGTCCCCACTTGGCCCTGGAGGATGCCGATAGCGGGGCAAGGCCCGGACTTTCCCCCCACAGGCAGCAGGGTTGGGGAGGAAATGTGCTGAGTTGTGGAAGCAGGTGCCACAGTCAAGA